TGCACATAGGCAAATATCAAATTAGAAGATAATAAAGATGAATAGCTGCCATGTTTCTGGCAGGTGCTTTGCCACTTTTACCGATGGATAAAGTCTTACTCATTATTCATTACTTCTCCTCATTCTTTATGTAAGGAGGGCTTTCAAGTCTTGATACACTATATTTTCACCGTATGAAATACAAAAGCATGGTACGAACGAAGTGGAAACATCTCCTCTCTTTTAAACTTTGTCTGGTCGCCTTCATTTAATTAGCTCTAGAAATAAAAAGCCGATCTAGCCTCATCGAAACCATTGAAAAAGCACAAGCGATCAGGAAACAGTTGGGTCTGAGGTCAATTGTGTGGCATGAAACTGTTTTAAAAAAGTAGCACTTTACGAAAACAGGTGTCAAGTAATCACCTTAACAGCTTTATTCATCTTTTCCAATCGCTGCTTCATATAGGAACCAGGAAGTGGGTATCATCAGGGTGGCTGCCAGGAGCCAATGCGATCGTCGGTAAGTCAAAAGCTATCCTTTTAAAATAATATTTTTCTAAATTCAAGCATTTCCTTGTGCACACTTTCCTGACTTTTAACAGCAGAATTGCATAAACACTGCCACAAAATCAGTTTCCACGTCTTTTAAGCCATAAAGTTAACTTTATTTCCAGCCTTATTCAGCACAGTGACTAAAAAATAAACTGTTTATTTGTTTAAAAGACTAGTAAACTTTAAATAAAATTTTTATTTACGCGACTCCCTATTGCTTGCTCCTACATTGAGGTCGAAATGCCATAGCTGTCAACCAGGACAGCTTTAACAGAAAACTATGATGGAGTAATGTCAAGTTTTGCGGCCGTGACTAGAAGAAAACCGAGCAACAAATTACTGCAGAGAGGGAGATTTAAAATTTGATTCCACGCCTGAGGGCAAATGAATTATGCTTTCTCGAAGATATTTAATATTTTCTTTTTCATACTTCCAGCGAGCGCCGACTTCGTACTGCCTTGACGGCTATCAGAAACCGGGCCAGCCATTGGTAGGTTGTTTTTAGGAAGTGGATTTTCATCACTTCTAAAATTTAAACTCGCGGTACAAGTTCAGGTGATACTCTAGTGTGAGGTTTGCTGGGCACTTTTAAACAGACAAATCTTTTCCTTTTCCAGAAGCTAGTTACCTTTACTTAACGTCAAAATGATTTTCCAAATAAGGGTGGAAACAACTGTAGCGTCCCGAGACTTCCCTGAATGCATACTGTCGACGTATAGAAGGGCTCGGGGGCTGCTGGAATGACCCCGGGGGCCAGAACGCCCGCTGGAGGAACAATGGTGCAGCCAGTCACCAAAACCGAGAGTTGAACAAACAAAGCCGATACTTTGTTTGAAAGAAGCAGACATATAAAGCACAATTTAAGTTCCCCCGGGGGTAAAAATAACAATATTTGTAAGAATTTTAACTAACTGGAACGGTTAAGAAATGCTCGAAAACTCGTGGAATTAAAACTTTCCACCTAACAGCTTCCTTATGTAAATAAATTTCCACTCAGGTCAGATAATAATGAGTTTTAAAAATGCAGAAACATCTGCATTTTTGAGCAACCGGGTCCTGTCCTGACCCTTGCGATCCGGAGCTGGAGTGCTTCGGCAGTGCTGCATTCCACGTGATCAAAGTAAAGTGGGGTGTTAAGCAAATACCCAGCTATTATCAAATACCATAACTACCTGTCAAAATCTTTTAAAATAAATAAGGAAAGAAACATGATGAGTGGAGTCCCACTCTAACCTTGGTAACTAAAACTGATTCCGCATGGTTAGAAGGAAGAAAGGTTTATTATTAACTGACATTTCCCCCCCTCCCCCCGAACTTCTTTCACCGAGCGTCGTCAAGCCAGCCCCGATCACGGAGGTGAATATTCACTCTATGAATTTATCACTTATTGTTTTCCCTTTTAATGTCTGATACTTTAGAAAAACATTTTTTGTCTGTAAACAGCAACATGAAAATCCGTACTACCGTGAGGGCTACCAGGATCAGGGGAACACCTTGGTGAGAATATAGTTTGAAAACGCCTCTATTTCTTCTCCAACAGCATATTATTATTAAGTCCGGAGGGAGTTCGAGTCGTTGAGCCGGATAAAACCCTAGGTTAGCAAAAGTGGGCAAAAAATGTGTACGAAACATCCAACAGAGGTGGTGCATTCGAACAGGCTCATTTAAAAAAAATTACCTTTTTGAATTCATTTTGAGAATATTTTACGCATCAAAAGAGGATCAGTAGTCAACAGAAACAGATTTTTACTTGTACTTCCAGATTTATACATTAAAGCACCCAAATATTTATTTAAAATTTGGTGCCGAAATCAAGCGAAGTGATCCAGCATTTGCCACACGGAGGAAAATGGACGACGAGGCTTAAATATGAGTGTATTCTAAACACTTTTTTTCACTCTCATAAACAAAAATATTCCTTCATCCATCTAAAATTTTTTGTTTTTTCTTACTTTCTTCCGGTCGCCAGCGACCACCAAATTGCATGTATCGTGAAAGTTCGGCGGAAACCGACCAATCATCGGTGAGTACTTTTTCATCCACAAGATAATGACAAAGTCAAACTTGGCATTTCAAATACCCTTCAAAAATCCATGAAAAAACGAATATTCCTAGTAAATGTATGAAATCTAGTTGCAAAAGAAGTTAGACTTGAAAAGTAAACCAAATGGCACTTTTAGGCATACAGGCACAGCATCAACATCTTAGGTTCGGCGATGTGAACAAATCTTTTTTAACAAGGAGATGCTTTCTGCCACTTTCTTCCTCTTTTTAATCCTCATGGATGCGAATCGAGATTGTCCAGTTTAAAAGCTCCCGACGCCTTTCATTAAACTTGTCGCAGAGCATTTGAAGAAGGCTTGGCAGAAGGCCTGCGAAAACTACTTGATTCCAGTGACAAATCCTCCCTTCATCCATCGTGATCAAAAGGGCTCACTTGTCCCAATCAAAGCAGATAATTGCATGTCAGTAATGATCAAGAGAATTGGGGATTACCATGTCAAAAACAACCATAAGTAGGGTTTGACGTGGAAAAGAGAAGTCGTGGGAGTTGTTGATCACCCGGATTTGCCTCAGATGCAGTAACAAGAGATGCCACCGAGCTCCAAATACGATCATCTTTTCCTTCACCGTTTTTTCATATTTCCTCACGCCCTCTGACCAGTTATGGAAAATGACCACTCACTTTTGTGTCAAGCCACCAAACGCACCATCAACCGTCTTTAAACTACCCACTGCCTGAAGTCAATCTACAAATCATGCCCTGTGGCTTCGGTGCACTGAGGACCAACAATATTTACCATTAATGTAACCAACAATGGGACGGTAGAGGTGTTTGTGGATGTGGAAATAATTTCTCCTCCGAAACGCGTAAGACTGGTGAGCGGGCGAGTAGGAATTCCCGTTCCTATGCATGACAACGCGAGGCGTAATCAAAAGGCGTCACAAGACTGCATGACACATTTCATTATCAAATTGTGATGGACTTTCTTTTACTCTAAATTAGCTACCTCGAGGCTGTTGTAGTCAAGAAAGTGAGCAATTTGAGGTGCGTTTCATTCCTGTCAATTTTAATCCTCGCTTTAACTCAACCAATTTGAGTTTCCAGTTAGCCTGTCTTTCTACTCCCAACCTCTTAGCGATCGCCACATTCAACTTGTCATGGAGGCTGTCAGGATCAGGGGAGATCAGCGGTGAGTGAATGCAGATCGCAATTCTTGATAAAATTAAGAATCGTGTGTATCGCAAACTTAGCCTACTTTCAGCAATAACCTATCAGTAATGACAATCTACTGGAGGGAATTCCAAACTTGAGCAGCGAAATAATCTGGAGGGAGAACCAGAGAACTAGTACTGTAGTGGAAGCTGTCAAAATTTCCTGAGCTAATGGCAAGAAAAGAATTTTGTCTAAGAGGGAGGGGAGGGGGGGAACCCCATTAAGTTAGAATAGTAGGACATTTACGCGGCCTCAAAATTTGTGAATAAGTGTTGTACGCTCTGAGCCCCTCCAACCACCAGTAGAGCGTGGGACTCAGCTAGGTTAATAGTAAAATACGTATTTTTTGTCTACCTGTTTAATTACAAAGAATACGATGTCCTAAATTAATGCATCCCGAGCATATCGGATTGAGATCAAGTAAACAAGGCGGGACAATGTCTACCGACCCCCAAGAGGGGAAGGACAAAAGTTTAATGATGGAAAGAATAGAGTTGGAAGGGATCAGGATAAAACGATCAACAGCATTTCAGTCTTTCAAACAATTAGACAAGAAATAATAGCTAGGAGTGAAGTTAAAATGGGCGTCTAAACTATGGTCGGATTTTATAAAGCCCAGTCGTCGATCTGGAGCTTGCGCTAGGCGAAATAGTTTGAAATGAAGGCGATTACGCTCATTTTCAAATGTACAAAAGAAGAATATGAGTCGTCGGACGTTGGTACAGCAAAGCCAAATGATATTTGGTCTTCAAACAAATAAGCACTTTTTCTAAAAAAAATCTATCTTCACGATCTCTTTTTATTTAACTGTGTTTATTCTGTGGATGTAATTGAAACAAAGTAACTTCAAAGGTTGATTTTTTTTTCCCCAACGCCTAGCAACCGCCTAGCCACAGTCGCGGCTTTCAGTCAAGCCATCCACCAAAGGTAAAATCATTTTGTTCATTGTTCCATTCAAAAAAAAAATAATGGCAATAATTGCTCTCATTGTGAAATGTACATTTCTTTCAACTGGCAGAAGTTATTCTTCGTTGTTTTCACAATTCCAGCAAAATCCCACCTCACCGTGTTGTGGGGCGGGAGGGAACCTGGTAAATCCTATTCACTTCCACTCCAAATAAGCTCATAACAATGGGACTTCAAAAGGTGCTATTTATTCAACGCATTTACAGAAACAACCGAGTGAAATGTGCTATGAGGATCTACAGAAGCCGAGAATTCCCAGTGTAAGTACTTCTTTTAATTCATTTTCAAAATGAAAAGAAGAATCAGCAAGTTAGAGTAGCTTGACGAAATGGTTATGCGCCTCTTCTTGCTCACAGCGATTTCAGAGGGCATTTCGAGAGAGTCTTCAAAATCCACAAACGTGTGAGGTAACACCCCCCCCCCCCCACCCTGTTAACGTTAATGTTTACAATTCCTCAAGATTGTACTTACTGGTGTGAATGCTTTGCAGAGACTGGCAAACGATATGACCTACGAAAGCGCGCCACAAGTACGACCGTATGGGGTACTTCAGTCACATTTGAAATGAAAATCGCTTGCCTATTTTTTTTTACCTTGATCCATCATTTTTGCATTTTTTTAGAGGCTACCGAGCTCCTTCTATAATGAGAGATTTCAACAGGCCAAGATGTCAGGGGTAGGCTGTATTTTTACATGGGCCATCACACCTATTAAGTGCCAATAGGTTGTCATTTCTCCCCTCTTCATAAACATTACCTCATTTAAAAGTGGGATTTTTTGCCTCTGGTTTTCTCAAGTGCCATCATTCAGGCAGTTTTGCAAGGCTAAAACTAAAAGCAGTGCTTAAGCTTTAGTTTACAGCTACGTCAACTGGGAAGGAAGAGTCATGGTTGAAGCTAAGCAAATATGGCTCAAGCATTAAAAAGAGGAAAATAAGTTTCAAAGACGGCCGATTTATATTGAAAAGCGCAGTACTGAGGAAGGGTCGTTTGCTGACCGACTGAAATGTTGAGCACACAAACACGTCATTGGTTGTCCTCAACCGCTCTTGTCTCCTACCCCACACCTCGGACTCCGTTGCCAGGAGACCATGCCTAGTTTGTGTTTATGTGTCCCCCCTAAAAGCCAAACCACTCAAATGTCTGCCATAAGTGGCTTAAAAAACGTGAGACCTCACTACGTAAAACTTGGCCGAAAGCTTTGGGCTTTTGGATGGGAGATTGGGGAGGGAGATGATGTCTTATCCTCATCCCCATCGCTATTACTCTTTTCCTCCTTTTTTGATACAAGACAATCACATGAGAAATAGACTGTTGGGGTTCAGTTACTCACCTGCTAGAGACTAAACCTCTCACAAAAACTAAACTTGCAGAGAGTCATTATCTTGTTGAAAAAGGATGACAGACCACATCTGTTAAAGATTTGAACGGGGAAAAGGAATTTAGCAAGCTACTTCTGGTTATAAAAGCCACACAAGCCCTTAAGCTTAGCATCAAACGTGTCCATTTGTCGAAATGTGCATTGCCCCTTGATTCTCCACCTTTCGGTTCAGTTGATCTGGTTAAACACCAACTGCCAAATCCGGTTAATCCCTCTGGTATGCAAGCCGGATGGTAGACAAAAAAGACCAACACTGTAAATTCACCTTTCGAGTTTTCGCAAGGGTGGATGGATGGCTAGACGGATAGTGGGACATATCTGTCACCGCCTTCTGTTCACCACCACCAAATTCGCAGCTCATGTCTGTCCCCCACGTGGCCTACTGACTTAATTTTGTGGTTTCGACTAGCCCAGATTTGCCTAAAACAATACTAATTTTCACTCTCAGCTCATCGTCCCTTGTACTATGCTTTTATGCGCCTTTCTTTCGCCTCCTAAACTACTTCGAGTTGTCATCTGAGCTCCACGCCGTCTCACTCAGCTCCATGACGCAAATCATATCCAAGAAATGAAATATAAAATACGTTTTGAATTAAAAATAGCATGCAACTAGTTCGAAAGAGAAATAGTAATTGTCTAACTTGCCACTTTTAACCATTTTTGAGCAGTCATGTAGTCACCTTTAAAGGAGCTGTTATTAAATCCACGTGCCCCCTTTTCATGTAAAAGCAACGATACTTTTTTTGCAAGGAGGCTTCATTCTTAAAGAAGAAAATAAATAATCGTAATACATTTCATTTTAGCGGAATCCCACCTCATGCTGTCGTGAATATCAACAGAAACAATGCTCATCCGGGGTAAGAATACTTTTCTATGGTTGTAAACGAGACAAATAGTAGTCTCTTTATTAATAAATCCTTCACAAAATTCCAAGAGTAAAATATAAAATAAAACTCTTGTTAAAAAATGCGGCAGGATGTAAACCCGGAGTTGCGTGAAGCCTGTCAGGGAACTCGCGTACCCCGAAGTGGATTTGCTGTTTTGTTTTAATTAAAACTCGGGATATTTAATATTTTATGGATAATATATCTCGTCCGTTTTCTGGCCAAATCCAATTTAGTCTCATCATGAAACAGCATGCACCGTAGAGGCAGCTCCCTAATTATTTATGAAAAAAATTTTCAGTTGCTCAACTCATCCCATTTTTAATCCTTAAACTGTTTAGAGATCGGCAGGGAGAGGCGGTTTTGATGAAATGGGGCCACCATGCCAGTCAAAGGTAATGAATGTGGTGCGATTTCTATCACAAAAAGGCAATAAAACAGTAATTTCTTTGAAGAATCCTCATAATTTCGCGTTAAACAAAAAGGGTTATTCTCCAGAAGCGCATTTTGCCTAAATTAGATTGAAGAGAATGAATATTTTTTCCTGAAAAAAAACGCATTTGGCTGTCATTAAAAATGGCCGCTAGACCACTATTTACGCTGGCATTCCCCCAAATCTAGTGTACTTCCAGCACCCACCTCCGCGGTGCCCATCAAAGCACTTGGCCAAATGCTGTAAGACTTTGTGAATTAATTAAATATTCCTACTTTTCTTACTCAAAAAAATTGCATTTATTCTTTGCCCTTAAAGGAGTCGCCCTCCAAAAGGCCGTTAAATGGACCGCCAGAAGAACGCAAAACGGTAATTTCACTCGCTCACCACCTTGTGGTCAGAGTTTAAACAAAATTTTGCCACCTATTGGCAGTTCTTGGGTACGTGCCAATAAATGGCCCCGAAAGGTGCTACCTCCTTTGGTTTAAACTCAGGGAAAAAAAACACTTTGCGACTTTCAAAGTACAACTTCGAATTTGAAGCATCATTTTTGGAGGATTATCAAGCCAAAAGATCTCACGATCACTTAATATGATGCGATTATTAAACCGGTGCAAAAACTTGACTTGTAGCGAAAACTGTCAGCCAAATGTGTATTTCACAAGGGGTAGATGAAGCTCGCCTACATCGTAGATTTTGGAGGCTACGACACATAGAGGCTGCTGTGTAATCCCTTTTAGGCTGATTTTTGAGCACTTCGTGCTGATGCCAACCAAAATGAGCTACTTTTAATGAAATTTCATCTTTTTTGACAAATCATAGTACCTCTCGGTTTCATGTTGTTGTAAAATACGCATAAAAATTTTGTAGAAATGCGGCAGGAGGAGGTCTTATGACGGTCAGAAACAACAGCAATTTTCTTCAAAGGTAATAATTTATTTAAAAAAATTTCTTATTCACTACCAAACGTCTTTCCAAACCAGGTGTGTGTCACCTTGACCTGCCAACAACCACAATATTGCAAATGCGATACCTGTCGTCAAACTTGTTCCACCCCAAAAGTAAATAATTTTTTTTTGACTTTTGGATTTATTTAAAGATTTAAATTTCCGGATTTAAAACAAAAAAGCACGCCTTTAAAACGGAAAATTACCTCATAATATTATGAACTCAGATTTACATTGAATGGGTTGGAAAGGCAACCTAAAGTGACCGGAGCTGTGGGGTGTTGCAGCCCACGTTCCAACTCCAACGCTACTGCCCAGGAAAAAAGTGACTCTCCATAGTAAAAAAATGTACGCTCTCCTCCAATCTCTCTTCACTTTTGTAGAAGCCTTCAGGTGGATCATCAAATACCTGTCCCCAACAACAATGCCCACCACTAAAGGTAAAAGTTTATTCCAGTTTTAGAAATGACAAAAACTACACGTAAATAAAAATCTTTGGTTCACCTCCTGTCAGTCAGCGCTGCCTTTAGTTTACACAGATGTGGCATTGACCAAGAATGCGAGGCAATTTTGTGTCAAATTATTAATAAATTAGTCAAAACTGTTAGAAGCTCCCACTTCTTTGCTATCACACGACGATCATTACCCAAATATCTCCTTTGAATTCTTACTTCTTATTCGTTAAGACACCAAAACATGACTGGCATCCTTTTTTCGTCTGTAAGGAAAAAGAAAGTACACGAGCAATCAAAAGTTTTTGTTTGTTTTTCATTCACGAATTTAGCAGAATCCCAGTGCATGCATGTGTGAAAACTGTCAGCAAGCCTGCTCAACGGAGGTAATAAGAAGTCATAATTGTTTGTTTGTTTGTTCCCTAAAATGTATAAGATTTGCTCCATTCACATTGCTAATTCTACATGCGATCTACTGAGGTAAAATTTGCCTGTTTAACAATTGCATTAGAAATCAACCTGCCGAGGATCTCATGACTGCCAGCAGGAGCAGAGCTCATCAAAGGTAAATTACTTTCCTAAAAGATCTTCCTGAAAAAAAAAAACGCTTTTAAGTAAAACTATAAATGTCAGTGAATGGATTGGCTGTCAGGTTTCATATCCACATGATGAAGAAACTTCGTGTAAAAACGTTGGAATATTTGAAAGGGTATTCGACCACCGAAATTTAATAACTGCCCCGCGTCTTCAATGGAATTGTCCCATTCCAAAACCAGTTAATTTATCCGGATGGCCTTTCAATCCAAGACCAAGGTGTGGATAGGTGAAGGCGAGTTGAATACGAGGTGGGTAGATGCAAGAGAGATGGACTCTTGAATGGGTGCATGGATCTGGGTTTAATGGTTCCCTGAAGTGTGGAAGGAAGAGTAGACTGGTAGGGAAATTAAGTATGGGTCCACTTAAAAAACAAAGTTTCAAAATGGATGGCTCCACGTTTGAGGGATGGATGACTACGGGTCAAATATTAAATGGGTAGGTAGAGGGATATGGTAAACAGATATGGATGAGTTCTGAACCAGGAGATTTGCGATATCCGGAGCCGGGGTAATGAATAAGGCAGACCCGAGATGGACCGGTGAATTAATGGGTTGATGAAATGTTGAATTACTTGGTAGAGAATTGGCTGATGGAGGGGTGATTTCAGATAAATTTTGAAGAAATGTCGCATGTCTAAAGGCCAACTTGATAAGCGTATTTTTGAATGTTGGATCAAGACTACCTTCCAGAGCAGCATTTTTTCGAGGTGACCAATTGGCTATAAAAGCACGACAATGGAGGATGAAAGTCAGTCCATTTGAGAGACATGGCATTACCCTCCTGCCGACCATTCCAAGTGACGCTTATCACCTTATCTTGAGATTGGTCAATAACATGGCAAAGTCACACAAAGCGGAGTGGATAGGCGGGAAATAAATGTGGGGCAGGAACGGATACACCCAGGCCTACGCTTTGCTTGACTTCTAATCAAAGAAGACTTTCGCAAAAGTGACAATCGCGGAGTTTTACCTTGCTGAGAAAAGGTCATGGATAGCAGCAACGGTGACTGTGTCAACAACCCACCTTACGGCACACTCCACAGCCAATCAACCCTTGTAATTGGAATCCACTTGTAACCACTTCATGGGTGACTGAAATTTTACAGTAAAAGTCAACTTCGCAGAAAACATTGAGAATGGGTTACGCGACAGTTAGCAACAACAATATCCGGTTGGGATGATTGCTTTTGCTTTTTTCTTTCTAATTCACCTATCTATCACTTTTTATTTAAAAATAAGGAAATAATTGGCCTTTTTTATCCTAGCAACAACGCAGTCCGTGTAGATGTGCCAATTGTCGTTCCACTAATTTGCCCATGGTAAATTTTTACTGTGATAATGAATCAAACATTTCTAAGTGCATATTACAACTGTAAATCTAAACTAAAATAAAAAATATTAATTATTTTATTAACTAAAGGGGTATATATGAAGTAGTAAAATGGCATTTAAATCCCTACCGAAAGTGAGAATGTTTGTGCCCCTTAGAAAAAACTTTCGGTTAAGACTAACAGCAATGCTTGCTGATGGTCAACTTTCTCGATCACTGTGTGACGGCAGTCTTTTATTTTTTTGACTCTTACGGATTTCCTTCCATGGTAGACCATGAATATGCTACAGTTGGGAAAAAAATTCATAAAAGCGCATGAGAAAGGGAATGAAACTAGACATTTCTTTACAAGTGCAGCTACAGGTGGTACAGAATTATGACTCCCAGAGGTGCCAAACATCCCTTTGACAACTAATTTCCGACTTGTAGCAATTTTTCGTGATTTTAAATAAAGCTTTTTCAATTTTTAGCACCAGTCGGATTCAGATCAATCCGGCAGGCGCCAGCAGTCACACACGTTGGAGGTAATCCTTTGTGCTGTGCCCTTCTGACATCGAGTGTGGCGGGTGATTTGACCTTAGAAGGAGAGTAGTAACACCTAGCTAGTGCAAAAACTGGGTATTCTCGGACAATTTACAAAAATATTCGGTTAAAATAAAACCCACTATTTATGAGGATTTCGCAATGTCGGAAAACAGATTATGGACATTCCCTGGCATTTATAGAGAACTTCAAATTCTCGCCCACGGTCAAGTCACCCCAAACA